AGACTCGCTTGAGCCCAGGAGTTGGAGGTTGCTGTGAGCTGTGATGCCACGGCACTCTACCCAGGGGGACAGCTTGAGGCTCTGTCTCAAAAAAAATAAAAAATAAAAAATAAAAATCCCCTCTCTAGTGTTTTCTAGGGACTGTGTGAGTTGTATAATGGATTTCATGTCACCATAGGGAGTCTCTACATTCTGGTGAAATAGAAGCATTAATACCTTCAGGGATTGTAGTTAATTATACAGAGATATACTTACCCCATGGACAAGATAAACTGTCTCGTTGCATACAGGCTGTACTGCCGTCACATCTGAGATTTTCTATCAAAGGAACAGAGAGTTGAAATGACAACAAAACATCCCTTCAGAGAGGCAAAATCGTTTTACTTCTGTTACAGCACATAAGTACAACTCATGAAGTTAAAAACTACAGTGTGGGGCTGGGCAGGTGCAGACATGAATCTATCTTGAGGAATTCCCAGGACAATGACTTGGCCACACTCTGCTCTTAATGGCTTTGATGCCAGCAGCAGTGAGGCATCTGCTTCTGTGCTCATTAATCTAAATCTCGCTCACTACCATCTTTCTCTGTGGCCGAGCTGGAGGTGGGATGACCAGGTGCTTTTGTGCAAAATCTTCTTATCTCCAAAGTACAATCTCTTGGACCCAAATCCAAAAGGCACTCAAACAGCATCTGAGCTCTCTACCAGGGGGATGCTCAGCGGCCACCAAGGAGCCCATGTCTGGTTTGCCGCAGCTACAAACACCCTCCATATTTTCCTGCCTCCTCCTGCGGCTACAGTAAGCAAAAACCCTGTTGAGTGTCCCCACAACATGACGTGTGCCACCAAGAGTCCAACCCACTTGATGCTGACACGGCCACTGCTCCTCTATAGACAGCTAGCGAACACCTGCTGCCCTTATTTCTGCTTCTCTAGAAACAAGGGGTAGTTTTTGAAGCCAGACACCTGTAATGCTCGCACCACCCAGCCAATGGAGGGTTGCCTGTGCCACCACACCAGCCCCAGTGGGCAATATGTCCTGGCAGGACAGGCTGACTGAGGTCACATTCCCTGAATCAATAGTTCTTTGCCTTGCAGGTGTGGCATCTTCCCTTTTATGATTTTCTCCACAAAGGTCTTGAGCCTCTATTAGATTTATTCCTAGATGTCTTATATTCCTGATACAACCATGTTATCTTTTAAAACGTTATACTTGGCTCGGCGCCTGTGGCTCAAGCAGCTAAGAATACACCTAAGGTGGTGGGTTCGAATCCCCAGCCAGGGCCCGCCAAACAACAATGATGGCTGCAACCAAAAAAAAAAAAAAA